GATGGACTGTTACACCCAGAAATATATTGGCTGCTGAAACTGATCATTCTCAAACTTTTTTAGAAAATAAACATTAGAGCTGCTTATATTAATCTATTTAAACTATTGAAATTTTGCATGGACGACGAACTTATTATTAGCATTCCCTACCAAATAACCTTTGTACACTAAACGAGCTAGTATAACAAAAAAAAAATTAGGTTTATATGTATTTTAAATGCCACATTATAAAACTATCACTTTGGAGTATGAAAAGTAGATAGTAGCCGATTCTCAGATCTAATGAATATGCATATATAATAGAATTTCATAAAAATCGGTCAAATCGTTTCGGAGGATTATGGTAACTAATACTATGTGACAAGAGAATTTTATATATAAGATTATAATAATCATTACTGCAATTGTATGAAAGACAAATTAAAAGATAAACCAAGTCAATCTCTATAATATAATGACGTTTGCAAAAAGAGATTTAAATATAATTGGTAACACGTTACCCGTACTTGATCGTGTCATCAAAAAGATTAATACACAATATTTCATTACTCGCAGAAATGTAATTTATTTTTTAGGTAAATCACCAGCTACGGAGGAATTAAATAAGGCGTTGGCGACGGAAATTTGTGACTTCCTTTTAAACCGAGTGACTTTGCACTGTGTATGTTTATATTCTCATGTATATTTATATCATTTCTAAATATAACATTCCCATTATTTTTCTTTATTATACTAGTTTATATTTTATCATGAGAGTTCATTTTGATGTAATTAATTGTATTCAGGTATATCGTAAAATGACTTATTAGTTTATTTAAATAACTTATAAAATTATTAGAATTGTGTGTCATCGTTTTTAATATATACGTTGTAAATTGTATACCAAGACAAATACCATGTTAAATACTCATCAAACTGAACCACTTTCACTAAAGAAACAAAATGAAAATATGTATACTATGAATTTTTCAAACTAAACTGATCACGTGACTGAATAGTTTATGTGAAGATTTAAAAAATAGTTCCCAATTTTTCAGGTTGGTTTTTTGGGAAAATTCTTCAAATTTATCTTTTGTCTTTTTATGACTAACCTTAACATACGAGCCATCATCACGTAATGAGCATTACGTTGGCATAAGAGTTTAGCTGACAATTATCATGGTAACCAGGCTTGGTTATAGATTTTATTTTGAATTTTCCTTTCTCTTTTCACTCTCGCCGATGAATTTGTTCTGTATATTCTTAAATGCCACTTACGACGTTTTAAGGTGAAAAGTAGTTATAGCTTATTTCTAGATAAGTAAGTACTTATCGAAGCGGAGAGGGAACGCCACTACTACACGTCCTATATAGCTGCAGCCCACTCATTACTACACGTAATGTCTCCATAAAGGAAGAAAATAAATACGATATCCGGAGGAGATAAAAACGATTGCTCTTAAAAACATTATAACATACAGCAAGTTAACAGGGCATGTATAATAGATATCTGAAAAGTCGCAGTCCTGTTCCTGATATTCGCTCAATAATTGCAATAAAAAAATATTTTTATTATGTAACATATATTTTGTGAAATATTTAAAGAATCGTAGTATATCTCTCACGATAATAATTAACTACGCAAACATACCAGAATAAATTACTTAACATTTTAAATTAAATATTACTGGTTTAAAGTGTTAATTGGATTTCTAAAAAACAGACAGAATTGTCCCAGGTAGATCCTGGATACATTTTAAAGCCGGAACAGAGCTGATAACGGGCCGGGAAAGAAGACAGATTATACTATTAACCCAGTGTTGGATCACGGACGCAGGATGGAGGGCCATAAATCGAGATGACAACACAACTGATTGCTGTTGAATTTAAAAACATGCATATTTAAAAAAAATTGTGATTACACCAGTATTAATACTATAAATCTATTTTAAATGCACTGCCCTCATCATTTTCATTATACTTACTAATATTATAAATGCGAAAGTAACTCTGTCTATCTGTCTTGCTTTCGCGCGAAAGCTATTGTACCGATTTAAATGAAATTTTGTATACAGATAGTCTTGAAAAAAACACAGGCTACTTTTTAATGCGAAAAAAAAGTTTGTTAAGATGTTACCCTTAAGGGAGTAAAATATGAAAGTTTGGAAGGAAATTCATCATGTTTGAAACTAGACTAAACGATTAAACTTTTCTTTGGCTTTTTTGGGTTAGATTATTAAATATTTGTTCTTTATTTGGTCAAAGTCACTATTCCACACGGACGAAGTCGCGGTTACAGCTAGTTATTTATATTTTAAGTAGTACCCTCTCTCTTTTTTCCTACTGGTACTACTGAAAGCTATCGGAATTTTCTCATAGAACATGTTATAAAGTTCAGTGAAGTCATTTCAGTGCTATGTACCTATTTGTAAAAATTGATTCTTTTTATTATATATATATATATTTATGCATTTAATTTTATCTTCTATTGGTTGTTTTTGTTTTTATTGTAAAAGCTTTAGTGCTTTGAAATATTTTTTCTTCTTTACTTCATTCTTTTATTTATAGGGTTTTCAATGAATATAATGAAAAAAAATAAGAACATAAGACAAATTCCAGTGTCCATTTATAATGAATTACTATATATGTAGAGCATCTTGACATTCAAAAGAAAAGAATACATCATAAATTCACAGGTTAGTAAGTTATCTAAAAGACCTAGAGGTATATATAAGTATGTAATGTACCCGTTGAACATTGTCCTGCTTTCCTCAGCAATCTAGTAATAAATACATCGACTGACAAGCAACAATTTATGGGAGGTAAAAACACTTTGAGGGCTAGATTCGCACAAAAAGGGACAATGAGTAATTGCCATCATGTAATTCCAGCGCCTGTGGTCACTAAACTTAATTCGATCAAGTGTTTTTCGTTAAAAACATTTATAAATTATATGATAATTTAATTCTATTTATAAAAATCTATTAGACACTAGACAAAAGTCACTTAATTATCTCTATCTTATATTATCAAACATTATCTAATTAGTTACCCAATAAAAATTATGATTAAATAATGTTAAAACTCTTCTTCTACAATTTATCTTACAATATTAATTAATAAATATTGTATAAAATTTTAGTCTTCACTATTTTAAAATGAAAAGTACTTGAATTGTTACACTTGGCCTATTTTTAAATAAATAGTTAATTCTGGTATACTTAATTTACAATTTTTTTTTAAACTCATATTCTAACCAAAAATATCTATCACCTATTTGAATATTTACTAATTAATCTGTTTCCGTTTTGAGCCATTCAATTATTAATGGTGGAATCCATTCTAGTGCTGTTTGAGGCGAGTTGTCGCTTCCAATTCGTCGGTCTCCATTAACCATAGCAAATCGGTAGAAACTAATTCCTTATTACATAGATAACAACGGCACATGCATAATATATTATATGCCTGTAATTCATGTCTATCTTACCACTGATAGGAACAAATATATTATATAAGGTAGATGTTGGAAATAAACCGGTATATCATCAAAATTTACATATAATATTATTATTATTATGTAAATTGATGATGATGAGGGAGATCGAAAATTAATCAGGTATGATCAATTACATTTATTTGGAATAGTTTTTAGCTTCAACATTCATTATATAGTTTCTATACATTTATGCTAAGGCATCAGAACAATAAAATTACATAAACTCTAATAAAAAAGAAACAAAAGAGTTAAGAATAATTTAATTAATGAGAACTAATTAATTAAATTATTCTCATATCATCTTTGTTATTTTTTTTTCAATTATGCTCTTTTACTTTAGTGACAACTTCAACAAGATGATGAACATAATGAAAATTTGCAGTTAATTTTTATTATTTTTCAAATATCTATTTAAATGCTGTCTCTACTAATTTACTTATATAATAACTTCGCAAGCTCATGGTAATCAGAGACTTAATAATCTATAAAGCTAATTAATTAATATATATTTATTTTTGAGGTATTTAAAACGATTCGTTCTCGACACTGCTAAGATCTGATGGAAGAATTGTTAGAAATTACTTTATTCTTTCCGTAGACTCAATAAAAAATAATTTGTCATCTAGGTTGCTTTCTATTTCATATTTTATCATGTTTATTTTCATCATTAGCCTTTTTGTGGACGGTATTATTAAATTAGCGGTGTTTCTGAGTAAAAAATTTCATGCGGCCCAGTATTAAATAACTTTCAAATTATATTTATGACAATTTTAAAAGGATCCAGTTTTAGTGATGGTTTGTTCTGAAAGACGAATTATAAGAATATTTTACGTGGGTATCTGTTTCATAATAGTTAAATATTTTTTATTATTTCATACAATAAGAGTCGATAAGAGTTATATAAATTATATTATTAATTATAACAGTACTTATCACTGCTGTAAATAGTACCTACAAAGTACACACTATATTCTAGAATCTAGATAGATAAATAGAATATACTTTATTTGTAACATACAGCAAATAAACAATGTATTAATGAACACATATATAATTACAACAAGGCGGCCTTACTGCTGATATTCTATTACAGATCGACGTATAAATTGTGAATAATTTGTTACACCCTTTATTTTTACGCTGAAATAAAAAGCCGAATTTAAAATTTGAGCTAATTCAACCAATCACAAATTCAAGACGCCAGTAAAATAAAATTTGAATATGGAATACAATAAAGTTTTCGAACGTATTTCCTGATTGCGATTGCTTTATTTTGAAATGTATTATATTTTAAAATATTGAACTTGCAATATTTTTTTTATTAACCATGGAACAATATAAGAATAAAATTAAATAATTTGCTTTATTTCTAGATATTACTTAGTTTTATTTTTTCCTTTTTTATGGTGTAATTACACGGTAGAATTTCAATTAATAGTTAGTATTTATGTCTTCTGGTATACTAAACAGTAAATCAATAAATAAACTGAAGTTTGACAAAATATAAATAATTATAATAACTTACAACGTCAATAATATGATGCAGTGAGACGCCAAAGGTGACCAAAAGTGGATGTGAGGAATTTTCGACTGGTCTAACGGACGCGTCGTATTTCTGCATCAGATGTCGAACCAGTCTGTACTCCTCATCGCAGCACCACACCACTAGAAAGAAATAAAAAGGGTGTAAGCATATATTTTATCCAGTAATTAAACTATAAATTAGAAATTGGCATATATGTGGGTACATTGTTATTAATATTTTATGTTCACCGTCAATATAATAAAGAATCAGTCTCGTAAAGTGTCTTGTCATTATAACATCCTAGTTAACAGTTGTGCACTATAATATAATACATACCATTTGGCGACGAGGGAACCCAAATTATTATATAAATTGTTCATTGATATTATTAGTTGTGACATAATGAGTGAAAAAAAATCGAAGGATATTGGCTACTTGAAAGAATTCCAAATACATGTGGATCGGTGGCCCACCTACATGAGTCGACTTAGGGCGTGGTTCGTAATTAATGATGTGAAAATTGCAGACCAATCTAAATACTTGATGGCCGTGGTTGGCACCGAAGCCTTGGACCTTATAATCGACTTATGTTATCCGGAAAAACCTGAAAACGTGTCAATTGAAAAAATCGAATCGCTCGTTGACGAACATTTATCTCCAAAGAGATCAATTATCGCTGAACGAATTATATTTAGATCATGCAAACAAACAGAGGGACAGTCAATAAGCGATTATCTTGTAAAATTGAAGAAATTAAGTAAGGCGTGTAAATTTTCTTCTACCGACAAATTAAAAGAGAATCTGCGTGATCAATTCGTTTATGGACTTCTCAGCGATCGTACACGGCAACGCCTGTTAACAGAGAAGGACGAGGACCTCACATTTACTCGTGCCTCTGAATTGGCACTATCGTTGGAGACGATGGAACGAGACTCGGGACCGGCTACGGAAGCTGGGCGTGGTCGCGGCGGCAGCGGTGTCACCGACCAGGAACCTGTGTATGCAGTCAGCGGCCGCAGTACCGGCGCCGGTAGCGGCCGTGACTGGCAAAGGGGAGCACGGCGACAAGCGCGCGGTAGTAATCGAGTACCGCAGCGCACCCAGTCATCGTTGCGATGGAAATCATGCGTCAGACAAGTGTTCGTTTTTATATAGTGAGTGTTATGTGTGCGGAAAAAAAGGGCATATAGCAAAAATGTGTAACCAACGTAAACAAAAATCTATTCACGGGGTTAGTGGAGCGGTAGTGACAGCCACCTCGTCAGATTGTTCTGACTCCGAGGACGGGGCCCCCGTGACAGTGTATCAGTTAAGTGATGACGACTCAGACGAGAAGTGGAACGTTTCTGTTCACATAAATGATGTGCCATTAAAAATGGAGGGCGATACTGGTTCTGCAGTCAGTAAATTTCTTATGGCACGTATAAGACGTTATTCAGTGATTGTAAGTTACAAACATATACGACAAATTTAAGAATGTACAGTGGGCAAAACGTGAAACCGAAAGGTAAGATTCAATGTACAGTTCGTATAAAAAATAATATAATATCAAATTTAAACTTAGTCGTTATAGATAATGAATTCAGTCCATCTTTATTCGGTCGAGATTGGATGCGATCTTTTGGTATTATTTTTCCTAAAATATTGTCAGTAAGTACTATGCATAATACACAATTTACTGTACCCATAGACACAAAGAGTGCTGTATATAATTTAAAAAAAATGTATCCGGACGTGTTTAAATCGGGTGTAATTTAATAAGTGCAAGATAAGGCTAGAACTAGTAGAAGGGGCGCAGGCGGTGTGGCGCCGAGCGCGGCCCGTGCCGCACGCGCTACGCCCGGCTGTTGATGCTGAGCTACAGCGGCTTCAGCATGAAGGCATTATATCACCAGTAGAATGGAGCGAATGGGGTACGCCCGTCGTTCCCGTACTAAAAAAAAATGGACAAGTGCGATTATGCGGAGATTTTAAAACTACCTTGAACCCGGTTCTCATGGACGATAAATATCCTATCCCCAGGATCGAGGATATATTTTCTACATTACAGGGGGAGAAATATTCGCAAAAATTGACCTTTCTAATGCGTATCTACAAATCTTGTTAGATGAATCCTCAAAAAGGTTGTGCACGATAGTGACACAACAGGGAATATTTTGTTTTAATAGACTACCGTTCGGTATTAAGTGCGCTCCAAATAAATTTCAAAGATTGATAGAAAAATTGTTTAGGATGCCCTACGTAACTTGTTATATTGATGACCTAACTGTCTGTGGTATAAATAGACAATTTATGGATGCGGTTATTGAAAGTTTTTAAAATATTATCAGAGTGTGGATTAAGAGTAGCTCCAGAGAAATGTAGTTTTTTTCAGAAGTCCATATCGTATTTAGGACACATAATCGATGCGGACGGGTTACACACGGAAACGTCAAAAGTTGATGCGATCAACAACACAGCAACCCCCACCAATGTAAAAGAGTTAAAAGCGTTTCTCGGATTGATAAATTATTATGGGAAATTCGTGAGAAATCTGAGTGATATACTTTCCCCTTTATATCAATTATTAAAAAAAGGTAAAAGATTCGAATGGAGTAATTCTTGTAATGTTGCATTCGAGCGCGTGAAGAATGCATTAAAAAACTCGTCATTGCTGGCGCACTTTAACCCTTCGCGGCCGATTTCGGTCACGTGTGACGCATCTCCGTTCGCGGTGGCGGCGGTGCTGTCGCAGCCGGCGCAGTCGCCGGTGCGGCGCGGCGGTGGCGCGGCGTGCGATCGGCCCGTCGCGCATGCTTCACACACGCTCACCGCGCCAGAAAAGAACTATGCACAGATATGTAGGGAGGGGTTGGCTGTTATTTTTGCAGTTACTAAGTTTCATGAGTACATATATGGTCGATTCACTTTAGTCACAGACTGTAAACCGCTATTTTCAATGAAAATAAGGGAGTCCCATTGATGGCCGCGAGCCGTCTTCAGCGCTGGGCCGTAATACTAGGCGCGTACAACTATAAAGTTAAGTGTATCAGTTCAAAACATAATTGTTAGCCGATTGCCTATCGAGGATTCCGACCGTTGTGACAGAAGAGAGTACGCGGATCGATTCATACATTAATTTTATACAAAATACGTCTCCCATTAGTTACAAGGATATTGCAAAATATACAGCATCCGATAAAGTATTGCAAGAGTTACATAAAAGTATTAAATCTAATTGGATATACTGTAAATGTAAAGATTTAAAGCCATATTTTGAAATAAAGGAATATCTCAGTATCGAGCAAGGCTGTATTTTATATGGTCATCGGGTTGTTATTCCCGGCGCATTGAGAGAGGCTATTTTAAATTTAATACACCAGACGCATCAGGGTGTGGTGAAATGTAAAAATTTGCTATGTATACTGGCCAGGTATCAATGGCGACATAGAACTGTGTGTGGCGCGTGCGGGACGTGCGCCCGCGAGCGGCCCGCGCCGCCGGCCGCGCCGCTACACCCGTGGATGTGGCCACAGGAACCCTGGTACCGAATACACGTTGATTTTTCTCGTTACCCGGCGATTCTAAGTATTATTTTGTTATCATAGATGCACACTCTAAATGGATTGAGTCATTTAGAGTTCACAACACTTCAGCTACTTCGACCATAGACAAATTGCGCAAAGTATTTGCACGATTTGGTCTTCCACATGAATTGGTGTCCGATAATGGACCACCATTTTCTAGTCATGAGTTTACAATTTTTTTGAACAGTCTACATCCAATAACAACGACTCCTTATAAACCTAGTAGTAACGGGGCGGGAGAAAATGCGGTAAAAATAATTAAAAAAGCATTAAAAAAAGCGGTTCATGACAAAATAGATTCGGAATTGGCGTTGGACAATTTTTTATTAATATACCGCTCTACACCACATAGTATAACTGGGAAAACTCCAACAAGCCTGTTGCTAGGCAGAGAGGTGCGTACACCTTTTAGTGTTACAACCCAGCACGAGCGAGTTAGTGAAAAATAAACAAAGAAAACAGATTGAATATAAAAATAATAATACCTATAGACAATTCAGCGTCGGGGATCACGTGTATTTTAAGTTGTTTCGGCGTAATACATTTACATGGGAAAGGGGTGTTGTCACTGACCGTGTGGGTCCATTGACGTACTATGTCAAGTATAATAATAAATATTTAAAAAAACATGTCGATCAGTTACGCATATTTAATAGTATTGATTCAAATTTATTATATGATTATGAACGTCGATCGAGTGGGGATGCTGCATCAATCAGTAGCGGTCAAATCGTGTCCAACAACGACCAAAATCTACCTGAACCCGATATTGAACCCGTGACGGAGACACAGCCGGTAGGCCCGCGGTCACTATACCCACAGGTGCTTTCGCCAGGGACTCATGAGTCACCCGATGGCGATGCCCCTAGATCGCGTTCAATTCGAATACGCAAACCGGTGTCAAGATATGGAATGGATGAATAATTTTTACAAATATTTTAGGTTTCACACAAGCTGTACATTTTTCCATTTGTGTATGCGTACACCAGTAAGCGTTGTATATTACTGTTATACTTACATAAGACAACTGGTTTAATATGTAATTGTATTTTTTTTTAATTTTAGTTATTTTTTATACTAATTGAACTTTAAAGTTAAACGTTTTTTTTGTTTCAGTGTTTTTAGTTTTAGATTTAGTTTTTTTTAATGTACTAATTGAACGTAAAATTTTATATATAAGATTAAGTATTATGGTATGTACAGGTGTAGTAAATATAATTGTTTTAGGTTATTTCTTTTCGTTACAGTGTTATATATCTACAAGTAAATAATTATTATGTATATATTACTTTGTAGCTAGGGGGGAAGAATGGCATATATGTGGGTACATTGTTATTAATATTTTATGTTCACCATCAATATAATAAAGAATCAGTCTCGTAAAGTGTCTTGTCATTATAACATCCTAGTTAACAGTTGTGCACTATAATATAATATATACCAAAATATAGTGATTATCATGTTAACCTGACAAGCTGAATCAAGAAAAATTTCATTATTCTCTCAGTAATCCAATTAAAGACTTAGTTCCATAAAATTAAAGATTCATCGTCATCATCATCG